AGATAGATAGATAGATAGATAGATAGATAGATAGATAGATAGATAGATAGAGAGTCTATGTCTGTATGAGTATATACATGTGAATGTGGGTACTTGACAGGTCAAAAGAAAACTCCAAATCCCCTGGATCTGAATTTATAGGCAATCATGCATTGCCCTATGTGGGTGCTGAGAATGGAGGCCAGATCCTCTTCTGTAAGAGTTGAGTGCTTTTTTTTCAGTCTTCTCTCATTCAATAACACATCCTGACCACAGTCTACTCATCCCAGTCCCTCCCCTCCCTTCCAGATCCACTGCCTCTTCATTTTCCTTTAGAAAGAGCAGGTCTCCCAGTGACATCAACTGAACATGGCATAACAAGATGCAATAAGACTAGGCACAAACCCTCATATCAAGGGTGGGCAAGGCAACCCAGTAGGGGTAATAAGGTCCCATGAACAGGCAAAAGAGTCAGAGATACCCCTACTCTCACGATTGAGAGTCCCACAGAAGCCCCAGTATTGCTGCTGAGGAAGAAGCAGCTTCAAGGCTGCACAGAGTGCTCAACCAGAAAGTCCACAGTATAACAAAACTTTCTGAGTGCTTTTAAGAAAGGAAAAAACTCACACACATTTCCTTGATGATTTCTCTCTTTATACTCTCATGCTAAATATCTATCTCTTTGTTCTTAGTAACTATACAAACCCAAAAGACTCTTTCATGCAATAGAAATTACATGTGAAGGTCGCATCCTGTTTCTGAAGTAAATGATAAAAAACAGAGTCATCCCAACAACTCACATGTAATCAATATCAACACCTTAATTGGTGAACTGTCATTTGGAGCTGCGAGGAAAGAACCAGTCATTTTGTTGTCAATTTAGAGAGGTAGTCCCATAAAGGATTTTAAAGGAGTTATAAAATTAAACTATTGAGGAATGTGAAAAAATAAGGAAATGCATACTACATCTTATACTTCTAAGTGCAATAGACATTTTAAACTAATTTTTTTGTTGTCAATCCTTGTATTGTAAATGCTTTGGTATTGACTCAGGTTTACCTTAAATTTCTTAATATGAGCTCACTTTGCACTCTCCAAGGCAAAGAGACACCAAACACATTTTAAATCTCAAAATATATTTTTCTGTCCTGCATATAACTTTAGGTCATAGAAAAGGAGACTTGCCAGTCTTTCTCATGGCGATGAAGTGTGATTATTCTCTGTATCCCTGGCCAGTTGGAAAATCTTCCCCTTTGGTGTATCTGAATGAAAGCCTGAAAGCTGTTTTTGTTTATAGACCTCAGTTAATTGCTCCCTGTCACCCGTACAATTTCAGGACCCAATATGAAAAACAGTAAGTTGCCTGAACCTTGATTTTTCAGGTTGCATACCTGTATCATAACACTGAGGTAAGGAATTTGGTCAGAGAGTTAATCACTGATTTATCAGTCAGACCTAGCAAGAGGGATTGGCATAGAAATTAGGTTGCTTTGCATTTTTAACCTTGGTCCAACAAATCAGACAGCTGGCTATTATGTCCTTGTAAACTAGATTGCTTTTCCTGGGAACAGTTTTTCTTAAAAAATAAAATAAAAAAAAAACAACAAGGCACCTGGTCTAATATAAAGCTACTTTGAAGCTTTACATCAACTAATTGTGTACAGCTATTTTGTCAGCTGGCTAAATTCAAATATTTCCTTTGTCATCCTGAGCTGTGACATAAAACAGCTCTCAGGGACTTTATAATCCCTGATTTGTATAGTATTTCTTTGTATTCACTTTTATTCATCAAAATTCTCTGTAAGGTAATATTATTGATATCAAATTGACAGTACAGAGGAATCACTTTCTAGACAACCCACAGATTGAGATCCCCAAGAGCTCATGATGCACTCATGAGAAAGACATTACAATACAGGCAGTGGGGGCATTCCCCATACACTCTGGGGAAAATTTGCAATAGCACATGTACAGTATAGATAGCACCAAATGGTATTCCAGAGCCTGTGGCCTTATGACCATGTCTGAACAAGGTTTTCCATCAGAGAGGTTTCCTTCTGGTGGGCTGATACTTTGAATATTAATTGCCGTCTGCTGTTCTTGTGTCATGGCTCTTGTCACCCCCAGACAAACAACCACAGCATGTATGCAGAAGACCTAGTATAGAACCAATCAGGCTGCAGGATGATCGACCCTATGAGTCCTGATTCGTTGATTCTGTGGGCTGTGTTCTCCTAGTGTCTTTGACCCCTGTGGCTCCTACAATCATTCCTCCCCTGCTTCCAAGGGTCTTCTTTAACACTGAGTCATCTTCCAGCCCAGTGTTTTCTATACACTTGCCCTGAACAAATTCACACTGTGTGTCTCCAGGAGACAACTGGCAATGTGTCTGCAGTCCTGGTATCCAGCCCTGCACAGCATCCAAGTTCTTGCGTTCCATAATGGAACTGTCTCTCCTCAGCCTTGGTATGCCCCCTGCTCAGCTCCTCCCCCAACACCAGCAAAGGCCCCAGGTAAAGAGGAATCAATACCTGCTCCATGGCCTCCACTGTGAACTTTCCCTGTTTCTTCTACAAGGTCTCCCTAGTCTGAGCTTCTCTAGTCCAGTAGTGCTGTGAAGAGTGGTATTAACTTTATAAATGATTTCATTATCTAGCCAATCCAGAGAGGACATTTTATCTGTCTTGAGCCCCTTCCTTTCCTGATTCATATAGTGCAGAGCCAAGGTGACTTTGTAACTGGCTTCCATGTTCTTATTTCTATCTGGTCTTTGCCCTCCAGGTGCCAGCCTTGCATACTGGCTGACACCTTCTCAGCCAGTCTTCAGAAATTCAGTAACTTTGTAGACTAAAAACAAATCTGTATTTCACTTGCAAATTGGAGTGATTGATTTGCATTATTTCAAAATAATTACTCAATTTTTAAAAATTAAATTTTCATTGTCTTTCCACATTGAGTTTGTTGTTGTTGTTTGTTTGTTTGCTTGATTGTTTATTTGTTTGAGGCAAGTTCTTCCTCTGTGTAGACCTGATTGTCCTGAAACTTACTCTGTAAACAAGGCTGGCAAAAATATCAGAGATCCGCGTGCCTCTACCTTCCCAGTGTTAGGATTAAAGGTGTGAGCCATCACTGCCCACCTTACTCTCAGCTTTTGACAGGATTTTTATTCTTTTTGAAAAGTATTATTAATATTATTACTGCAACTTTTACTATACTTTGTATGCATGATTGATGTTTCTCTGTGTGTGTGTCTGTGCATACATGATATGTGAGTGGGCAGGATGTATGTGTACGTATGTGTGCATGATGCATTGTGTGTGTGGTATATGTATGCATGTTGTGTGTGTGCTACAACACACATGTGGAGGTAAGAAGGCAACTTTGTGGAGCCTCAGATGCCTAATGATCCTTTACCACCTAAGAGAACTCTCTGACATGCTTTTCCCAATGTTTGTAAAATTATGCTTATTTACTTTGGAGGTATAAAGATTTAGATAAAATTATAAAAACAAAACAGAAAATACTTTTTCCACCCTCTAGAAATCATTTACACAAATGAACATCTTGTAACATTCTAGGAACACAGAACATGATGTAAATTGTCTGAATTTAAGGATGGTGGCTCCTGCCTGGAGATTAACAGGAGGATTCCTATCAGGATTCCATCCTGGCCTACAGAGTAAATACCAGGCCAGCACAGGCTACATAATAAGTCAATGTAGGAGAAAGTTTCCTGTGCAAAATGCGTGTTCCCAAATAACGAACAGCTGCTTCCCAAACAACTGACTCAGGGACTTAATATGAATTGTAAATACTCAGTCAATAGCTCAGCCTTATTTCTACCTAACTCTTACATTTAAATTAAGCCATATTTCTTATCTATGCTTTGCCACATAAGTCATAGCTTGTTATCTCATTTTCCATATTTCCTGTTTCCTCAGAGACTGGCTAGCATCTCCTCTGACTCCGCCCATCTTCTTCCCATCATTCTCCTACTTTGGCTGTCTCACCTATTATTCCTGCATGGCTACCAGTCAATCAGTTTTTTATTAAACCAATTTGAGTGACAAATCCTCATAGTGTACAAAATGATAATTTCACAGCATTTCTACCTTTTTTCTAATGAAAAATGCTTTCCATTTAGTGTAGTAATATTATATATAACAAAAGTACTAATTAAGTAAAAATTGATGTTAGAATATCCAGTCTATTTGCATTTGTCAAATCTAGAGAAAATACTGGATTAACTATTTTATCTTGGTGAGACTAAAGTTATATATATATAACTTTATATATATATATATATATATATTTGAGTGTGTGTGTATACATACACATATATAATTTATCATTTTATCATAACTAAGAAAAACCATAATTATACCTCCCTAGCCTTCCACTCTATCAAAGACCCCAGAATGATGAAATAACACCTAATGACAGAGATATCAGGCTGCCTGAACAGTCACCCAGAGTTTCTTTATAACACTGAAGCATACAATTCTGGCCTACAGGCCTAGCATACCTGCCAGACTTCCTTGTGAAGCACGGAATTCTGAAGAACTGTCCTTCCTGGTCTTGGCAAAGTATGGTGGTTGCAATTCTTGTGGACTGTTGGTGCAATTTGGAAAGTACTGTCATGCAAGGGAAGTTTCTTTGCCTATCTTGCTAGCTTTTGTCATAAAAAAAAAACAACAAACTCCATAATAATCTCTTAA